TAGCTTCTTTACCTGCCAAATTATCTATTAAGTTAACGACCAACAATGTTTACGCGTTTCCGGTCTATATTTTGGCTTGGCAATAGACATTTTCGGATTCAGCGGGGTCAAGATAGCCTAAAAACGGTTTTTTCTCAATTGTTACATGAAATGCCGACTGAACTTTATTTTTCTGAAATCGTTACCCGTCTAACAAGGGAGACACCAAAATGAACACATCTAGGTTTCTGCTATTATTACATTAATGCTAATATCAAACGAAGAAGACATTTGAGGGGATTATTTATCCCTCTCCTGATAATAAACAATAATTCTCAGCTGATTGTAGCAATCAAGTACACAAATAAGAGAAAATATCATATGCAAATTATTCACTTTGCCCTGCCCCCGGGTAAAGTTCATACATGTCGCAAATGACTAGTAACATAATTTTATATGGAAATATCATTGAGACTGAACATAACTACACCGATACTCTCAAATTCGCAACAATCTTCATTACACTATTGGACACATACATAACAGCGGTTGCTTTTATCAAATCGCGGTTATACTCAAATTAATTTGTGTTAAATTAAAGCTTTAAAATAGCAATATTAAATTTGCTAACAACAAAAATTACGGTACGGACCAATACGGTCACTTTTCTCAGCCAACTTTGCAAGAAATCACTTATTCTGGCGTATTCCTGCTTTCTACCAAAACCAGGAAAGCTCAGCACCGCCTGGGGTAGGCACTCCCTCTCCTAAGAGAATGTCAACAACGCCTATATTCCATTTTTTTTTTGTTGTTGAAAAAATAAATTTTCTTGCCAGCTAGTCAAATACTATAAGTACGTGGATTCTTCTACAACCAATTGACGATTATTGAAGAATGCTTATTCAAGGTGGTCGATTCACGGTTTGGATATTCGCTTTGCTTGATTTGATCGAGAATGAATTCAAACATTTTTTTTAATCTGTCAGCATCAGCGTTTACTATATTAAAAAAGTTTTATAATTTGCCTCTGAACATGAAGTTGGTCAGTATATAAAGTTGGATGATACACTTAAAAGGACATTCTAGGAGTACAGCAATTAACTGTTAATTGAAAAACTCACGTGACTTTGCATAATTAAAAAAAGCGTACATATTGCTGGGGTTTATGCTAGTTTGCATCGTCGCTAGCCTTACCTGCATAGTAATAGCAAATTAAAAAGTTTTTAAGAGCAAATTTTCGTAGCTGAACTAGGTGGAGCTCAGGTTATACACCACACTTCAGTGTATACACTCGGGTATTGGTAGTAATATTGCTTTAAAGCAGTAAAACGAATAAAAAGTTAAGGGCGATATTTTTACTTCTTATGCCACTGACGAGAAAATATTTAAATCGCAGAAAACTTCCAAAAATGATATATTTATCCTTTTTTTGATCAGCTGGACATGGGCAAATTTCCAGTTTTCTAGGAAAAGTACCGGATTCGTAAGATATCTGAGAGAGCCGCGAAAGAACTGCAGCAAGCTCCGCTGCAGATATCTTCAATACAACGGCAGGAATCAAATGAATGTTACTTCTCGCATAGTGTACGGACCGTTTGAATCGACGGCACTCGGGCGCCCATTGATTATCTCTCGAAAAGTATCAACCTCAACAACTTTAACAACAATTTTATAACAGAATTTTTTGTTCAAAATAGCAAAAAAAACTGAAAAAACTTTCGACCAGAGAAAACAAATCAATTTTTCTAATTTGTTCAATAATTCTTTAAGCAATTTTGGACGCAATTTTAGAACTAGCAACATGCAGATTCGATAAAATGGGTCATTTTTTAATAATATTTCATATAAGCAAAAAATTCGAATCATAATAGTTTTCCGAGCTGACGCGGAGATACGTCCTTGACTATAAACAATTCTACAAAAGTTATCTCAAAGGTCAAACTGACAGTACTCCAAATATATCGCTGGTTACAAGGTAAAGCAAAATTGACTCAAATTTTGTGAAGATCTTAGTATTTAAGGTTGACAGGTTACTGTGACATCAAACTACCTAGTTTAACCCAAAGTTGTACGAGATATATTGACATCAAGCAAAATTATTGTATAAGACTTGCAGTCCAAGATCCGGAATGAAAAAATTACAGGTTATTCTGTACGAGTTGGCATTCAAGAAAATGTTAGGTTAATATTCGTGGTCTGTTCCAATAAAGGCATTTATCAGATGGTTTATACATTTAGCAGGAAGCAATCTAAAATAGCCAAGTATATAATTAGGCATGGAAAGTAAGTTCTCAGATTATAGCTTATAGGGGTACACAAAAAGAGCCTAAAATGCCGGTACTCTTGATTATAGTCAGCCAAAATATTTTTTTTTTGTGACAAATGACATAACAGGCAACTAATTTGGTTATGTGCACAAAACATAGGAAGTGTCCCCCCAACTTGGCCGCTGCAAGTGCATGCGAGGTATATCACTGACCCTATGAAATTTATTTACCGCGAATTATTTTAGCGTTTTTTAGTCTATGTGGACATTTGTTGAATTATTTATGAATACTACTTATTTATTGTTCGTATTCCAAAAAGTAACTGATTATTTATGTACACTAGTTATTTATTGTTCGTATTCTAAAAAGTAACTGATTCTAAGTTTGGACCATTAAAATTCATACGTGTTGTGCTGTGTAATTTGAGTCAATGCAACTGAAAGTTTATTGAAAACCACCATAAAACAAGTTAGTAACATCAAAAAAGGCTTCAAAGACACAAAACGAACGACGCCAACACAAAACTCCACCGAAACACACGACATATAAGTATGTATGATCCACATCCGAGGTACGAGACGCCACGTGGACATGTCCTAGTGGTACACTAGTTATGCGATACGTCAAATATTTGGATGTTGATGTCATTAGTAGCCCATTTACAGGCACTGGATATGTTTACGCCGTGGGTAGCTAACCACGGGACTGAGTTGTTCCTTGCGTTAGCACCGCACCCTCCCAACAGATGGCGCAGCACCAGCCCATTCAAACTGCGCGCTAAGCTAAACCTTTAGCATATCACCAATGACCATGTTTATACCGAGATCAGTAATGTTGCACTAAGCCCTTGTATAATGCACAATGTACGGTGCAAATGAACAAATAATGCTTTAGCACAGATGGTGTTAAGGGACGAAATAGCACAGTCCTGTGGTTAGCTACCCAGTGGCGTAGCAAAGGGGGGCGGCGGGGGCAGGCCGCACCGGGTGTCACCTTTTCTGGTGTGACACCTACCCGGTGACTCAACTTTAAGTACAATGTACAAACATACAAAAATTGCACTGATTGCATTGAAAAGTAAAGGCTTAACTGTTGACGAAACTGCTGCAAAAATAGAGGCACATCTTTATATCGAAGAAAAACAGGGTCGCACTGTGGAAGAGGCAACAGATATTGCTAAAAATAAGAAGACTACGATATTCCAACAGAAAGGCGACTTCGGCGTAAAAAACCGGTGGTTGGTGAGATGGACAATTATGCAGGACTCACACTGAAAGATATATGTTGGAATGTCTTAACCGATTCAGAGTTGATCTCGAGACAAGATCGAAGACTCTTCAAGACCTAGCTTCATTGGTTAAGATCGTACAAATAAATACTTTGCTTTTGGCGAATAATGAAGAACTGAAATTAGCTGCAACCAAGTTTATTGATTTTTATGATGAGGTCTCAGAAACAGAATTATTTTTGGACATACCAAGACTGCGAAGACACTTAAGAGCCGCTGAAGTTACAGTTTCTGATTGGGTATCTCTAGATCTTTCAAAGTTTATTGTAGAATGGATTTTTATAGAATCTTTTCCAAACCTTATGATTGCACTAAAATTGTTCATGACGTGTGCGTGTCCGTAGCTTCATGTGAAAGGAGTTTCAGTAAGCTAAAATTAATAAAAAAAACTATTTGCGGGCCACAATGACCCAATCGCGGCTTAGCAATCTTAGCATATTAGCCGTCGAACTCGAAGCAATACAAAATATAAATTTTGATGAAGTTATTTCTGAGTTTGCAACTGTCAAAGCTAGAAAGAAAAGATTTTAATTGTAAGATAAAAACATTTTTTCTGTCTTAGTTTTTATTGTTTTGTTAGTTGTTCGATATTTTTAATATAAATATTAAATGACCCATGACGTTTATAAATCGCATAAAATTTATTGCTTTTGACTTTCGATGTGGTGACACCACCAACTTCCGCATCGGGTGCTGCCTACCTAAAATGAGGAACTCACACAGAATGAATAACATTTTGTTCCAGCACGAGCTTTCGTGGCGGTGGTAGTAGTGAGGAGGCGAAGCCTAGCAACTAGGCCACGTGTGACCCTTTTTTGCCGTAGTATCAACACAGCTACTACACTTAAAGCCATCTACTGGTAAATGATGACTTCATAATCCAGCTTCAAAGATGGGATGTTCCTATCGTTGATCTTGCACCGATATAGTAATATAGACAACACACAATACAACATCCTTCTGTATAAGGTGAAGGGCAATCAACCAAGATCAGAGCACTTAGGCCCCATAGGGCCCCTTGAACATGCTCCTTAGGGGTAACTCAGGTCTGAATCGTCAGCCACCCCGGATTATTGAAAAAGGGTGATGCAACTTAGCGGAATTTCCCTTAAACATAGGCGAAAGTTCCCCCAGAATGGATTCTCGGATTGCTAGAACAGCTGGGCAGTCGCAAAGCAAGTGTTTGACTGTCTCATCTTCCTGTTCACATCCTCTATATAAGGATATGTCACTCAGTCTCATTTGATAGAGATGCTTCCTCTTAGCTGACAGTGCCCAGTTGCAATGCTAGTTGCAAATCGACGTTTTTATATGAACATAGGCACAACATCCATGGCTTGGAATTAACTTCCAAGGCGAGGATTCGAACCAACGAGCCTCGGGTCGACCAACTGCTAACTCGACTCACTACTGAGACGGAAATACGGTACCGTCGTTTTATAATTTTGTTCATTGGTCACTGGTACTCAATCTGTGAGGATTCCATTTTCTCTCAAAAAAGAATGCTCGCGTATGAGCTGCAATTGAATGGAGGAAATTAATACTCATTTATAGCCTGCAGTTCAGTTGTAAGAAAGTATTTCAAAAAATCTCATCCACTCACCCTCTTGACTTGAAAATGGTCCGGCTTGAGCGTCTCCTGCACCTCCTGGTCGCACAACCTACTAGACGCACTCTGCGGCTGCGCAACGCTGTTCCGGAAATTGTCCAGCACCCCCTTGATGGTGAACTTCTTCATTTCGCGATCGCCGCGCCTCATCTCATCTCATTCCTTGCACCACTGCCGCTGGCTAAAAATGTTTGTTGAAGTTGCTCAATACTCAGGAATTCTAGTGAAGAGCAGCATCAGATATGTGCCATTTTGCGGATCACACTCTAAAAAAATTGATAACACAGTAATTTCAGTCCTTCCGTCCATCGATTTCGTAAAAGCGGATGCTTCCATCAATAGAATCATATACTTTGGGCGAATGTCACAAGATCACTAGTTACTGTGGTCAATCAGAGTTTACTGAACATTCCACCAGTGTCAGTGAATTACTACGTTTTTACATAAAAAAACTATTTCAAATTTCGTCCTAAAAACCCTGTAGGTAGGTCTTGACCTCCCAACTCATTCCTTAACAGCATTTCGACCAATGAAGAGCAAGCATCATACATTACGTTCAAAAATACTGGTTTGTCTAAATCATGATGTATCACACCTGCTTTATTTAAATTCGTTCCAGGTTCGATTGATGCTACATATTATTTTTATATGAAATTTTATCACTTGTTTTGTGCAATTTTTCATGCAGTGCTTTTCAAAATTGATTACTATATCTCGACGTATGGTCGAACATGTTTTTATATGGGATGGGGGTCATGCGATACCTCATTTTGAGGCTCCTTACCAGTACTTCATAATGATAGAATATAAATTTACTACGGAAGAGTCTGCCTGAATGTGCAATGGAATATGGAACATTTTTTGTTGAAAGAAAGTTTAGACGTCCTTTAATGAAATTTTCCATATTTATATAATATACTACCACAAAAAAAATTACTGATAATACGATCCAGAGTTTATATCAATTTCACTGCAATAGAGCTGATCAAAAGTTATATGAAGAACAGGTTTTCAGCCTTTTGTTTATTATAAAAATTCATTTTTTAATCGCAAAATGTTGCTACTAGTGTTTATATATTATAATAAACATGACTATGCTATTCCAAAAGATCACGAAGAGCCTGTAAAAGAATAGAAAATAGAGTATCAAAATAAAATAAAATAATAATCGTGGCTGTAGCCTTCACGAAATCCTTCAAGCAGTAAAAATAAAATTCAAAACAAACTAGTATTACAAAACTTGGTCTACGCATAGTGTCCATTTTTTCCGTTATGACTACTAAGTTGCATAAATGTCAACCTCATGACCTCATGCGCTACTGAAAAGTCTGCCCCAAACTAATACTAGGCGGACTATTTGCATAACATTTATACGAAAAAATGTGATTTAACAAAACATGAGTAATACAAAAATGTGTGACAAATAACATGCAGCCTTAATAAAACCTAATTTGAAAAACCTTGAATTTAAAAACCAAGTATTTTTAACGTAATTAGATCACTATAACTCTCTTTATTGGCCAATTTCTCCAGAACTAAACTGCTTTGGAGGAATTGCTGTTAAGGTTAAGACCTACCAACAAGACTACTTTAGGCGAAATACGTCTTTCGTTCCTAGGGACCCCTCCTCGTTAGAAGAAAAGTGCCCATGGGCCTGAAGTTTTTCCACCGTTAGCTTCTGAAACACAGTGCCGCCAAGTTGAGCAGTTCCGTATTATAGCATATTACATTCACAGAGTGACCCAAACTTGGATGGATGAAATACTGCAACATTTTCAAAAACCATTGAAGATTATCCTGCACCGTCCCTGTGGAGATGTATTTCAAAAATATTCAGAATTAGACAAGGTGCTCAAAATTGTTTTTTATATGGATGAGTTTTTGAGATATATATTTTGTTTAAACTCAAGAGTAAAAAGTTACATTTTCTAACACATTCAACTAAGTTCGTCACAAACGCAGGTATCTAAAAACATATAGGGATTTGAAAATATGAGAATACGCAGTCTCCTATTTGAACGTTTTAAGGAACAATGAATTGTGTTTCAGAGAAGCCTACAATTAATTGACACAAGTTATTCATCTCAACAATTACTCGACGAAATTCAGAAGGATGTACTGCCGTTCTTAGGCAAAAGGCAGTAAAATGTAGAAATCAAATCTGAGAAAATTGAGTTCAACCTTCGGGATTTTTTCGAACTACGTACATAGTATTATTACGAGATAACAACAGTGAATGAATATTGCTAAGTTACATGACTTTATAGAAAGTCATTTAAATGTGATTTCGAATCATAATTTTTGTTGGGGTCTAAAGTAAATGACATTCCGTCTTTAATTGTTGTAAATCAAAAAGCAGTAACATGTGACTTACTGTTTTTGTACTCTGAAAAAACAAACTTTTTGCCTTTTTTTGTAGTTTTTATAATCTATTTATATTATTTTTTCAAAGGAAAAAGGCAGTAATTCAGAAATTTATTTTATTTTCGTACAATAATTCAATTTAATAATTATTATATGATTACATTCAATAATTACATTCAACAGAAATAATTATATGAATAAACTGAAAACTGCAAGTTTTGTTATTTTTTAAATTAAACGAAGAATATTTTTCAAGAATTTTCGGAGCAAAAGTAATTATAACAATAAATACTCATTTAGAATTATTGCATAAAAAAAATTATAATAGGGTAAAACGCAGTACTTGTAACTTGTATCATACAAAGAATATAAGAGTGTATTGTTTGTAGACTACTGCCTTGATTAATTTATTCACATGCTTTTATGCTTAGGAAATGTAGTTAATTCGACAAAGTGAAAAACTAACTATTTTTGTTAAATAACATGATTAATTATATATTTTGTAATTGTATTTAAAAAACAAAAATGTACTGGTGTCAACATTTAAAACAGGCAGTGTTATCAAAGTAATTAGTAGAATACGCTACATGATCCTGAATATTACCGAAATATATTGTTAAAGGGGCAGTGTAGAATAATCGAAAACAGTTTTTGAAAAATTGTGTGTGTAGTTAAACATCAAGAAGCCATTACATATCTTGTATCAAGCTGTAATCGGGTACGAACGCAGAATCTGTATCTCGGAAACTCTTCGTGAGAAAACTTTGGGCCCATGGGCACTTTTGTTCTACGTACTACGATCTATAACATACTAAATTCAAAAAAATAGCTAGTAAATATTTATTATTAGTTTCACTTCAAATATCTCGATGCCTGATAATCCTATAAAAAAAGAACAAAAACTTTACTCCACTCACCTGCCTATATACCGCTCGTGGTACTAATATAGTACTTTAGGCTCTCTGGTAATGTTTATGTTTATCTCACTGTCGCCGAGCACCGCGGCATCAGGTGTTCAGTGGCTCATGTTTACGTTGCGTGGCCGCACTGCGGATGAGGCGGAGTTACATCACACTGGAAGTCGCGAAGGTCGAACCGAGGGGAAAAAGAAAGGTACGCGTTGACCCTTAAGGGACAGTCCCGCGATGGTCGGAGGCTGATAGGAATGTGTGTGGTGCGGTCCACGGGACGTCAGAGCACGGGAATGACGCGGCAGGCGCAGAAGGGGTCGATACACAACGCGGCGGGACACGGGGCGATTAGGATACGGCGGCGGCGCGAGGAGACCACCACGCAGCCCCGCTCTGCTGCTGATCCTTGGTAGCACCAAGGGTGGAGGGTTGGGAGTGAATCTGGAAAGAAAAGATGCTCTGATTAGCCATGATCACTTCGTTGATAAAAAAAATTAACAAATATCTTCCAGAATCCTAAAATTTCCATTTCTAGGAGTCTTTCTTTATACTGATGTAGTCGAGTAGGCAGAAACCTAAATACCGAGTCACCACGACCGCTGCAAGAAGCGTAAGATGACCTTGTTAATCCAATTTTGAGCTGTCTGAGATTAGTCAAACTGGAAAAAATCTCCTCAAGCAGATTGTTCAAATATCTCGATACCTTACGAATAAAGGAACGGTCGTATCGATGTACGAATTTTGACAGATTCAAGATGGGAGACATAAGTCAGGCGACTACGTCTTACAGGCTCAACACGCAGCAACATCATGAAGAAGAACTCTGAGGAACAAAGCTCTTGGCATAGCGATAAAAGAGAGCCAGATCGCTACCACTCAGATGAGTCTGGATCTTATCTGAACCTTGTTCAGAGTGAGGAGGTTATGACGAGAAAAACAATTCTTAACCCTAAACAAATATCCTATCTTTTCCCCAGCAGCTGTCGCGATTGACGAGATGTGTTCATGTCAAATCAAGTCGTCGGTGATTTGGTCTTCGACCAGCCGAAACAGATGGCTCCTTGCCAGAGTCAGAATTCAGCAATCCTTAGAAACCGGATGTACGTTAGGGCGCTTCTTGTTAGTCAAGGTACAGTTATCTGTTTTGGAAGTATTAAACTGTACCAGATTGTTGCGTCTGCAAACTGTGGTAACTTACAGTTTTATTAGCCTGAAATTTCTTAGAATTCAAAAATAAAACATAACTTCAAAATAGATCGCTGACACGAAACTGTAGAAATCTAGAAATTTCCTGTCTTTCTGAAGGATAGGAAAAACTATGAAAATCTAGAAGGTCATAAAGGCATACAATTGTAGGAGCGACTGACGATATGGACCTAAATGCCTGCGTGTAGAGTACTACCATCAGCAAAGCTGTGGATCGGATTGATCGAACAAGAGTTCTAAATTAAGTAACCGTAAAACCTGCTTCTTGTGTATCAATAGTTCTACCAAATAATCAAAATATTGAAGCAACTGATACAACTGGTATAGTAAGTATAAAATAATTAACAATCTCTGTGTTACTCAAATAGCATATGTAATTCCGAAATTTGCGATCTCGCCATTTTTTTAATCACTACTTCTATTCCCAAAAACTACATATGAGGAGCAATATTTTGCAAGTCGTTAATTAAAAAGGTCAAGATATTGATATTGCTGAAACTAAACTTAATAGTTTCCAACATCAATGCTAATGCTACCTACTTTGATTTTGAAGGGAGCCGCAGCTAAAACGTTCAAGTTCATCGTTTTAGTGGTCTCGTTTGTTGGCTGTAACTGGGAATAGGATCAAGACTGTCGCACGCTGGGGAAGCAGATCAGGTTTTCTGTGAATATCACAAACATCCGAGTGCATCACGTGGCTCTCGCAACCCGGAAGCTTAGAATATCTCTAGTTGGGGGTCCTGCGGCAAGCCCAACAGATGCCGACGGCTCCCATTACGGAATCCCACAGCCTCACCTACAACATGCCCTTCGATGCCTGAGAAATATTTCTTGTTCGGCATTACGTAACATGTTACGTAACTTAAAAGTGACATTATATCGATTTGTGATGACATTATGTAGGTTTTTCGTTCAGTTTTTCCGAAAAAATGTCATCTTGGAACTGGCTGTCATTCACTTCATGTTCACTTGCCTTAACGTCATGACGCTTGACTTATATATGGTTTGGCTCTGATGAGATGTAACATCTGGTTCAGAGATGGCACTATTGGAGGTCATTTATAACACCTATGGTCTAAGTTTTATGTTTTATACCATAAATAGAAAGAAACACTGCAGTTCACCGTGATGATTAGTGAACTAATAATCTGTGTTGATCATGATACCGTTAGTTTCGCAAAGCATACTGGAGAATTGTGAGTTGCAGTGTGTAGTAACCCTAACGAATATACATATTTCAATTGAAATCAACCACCCTGACACAACCTGAGTTGAAAGAAATTTGCATAGCGTTGCGTTCACTATAGAGATAGCCGATATCGTTATTTTTAACTATCTGTGAAATATGACATATTTACTTGTTGATATCAGTGATTTAAAAGCGTGACGTTATTACGACTTTCGATGGGACGTGGACGACGGGTGAATTTCCGCTGACATGCGGTTGGGGGCGGATCGCACCGTTATCGGTGCAAGACTGTCCATCCCAGTGGGATGTAAATTCGTAATTATTTCTAACACCATTCGATGTTTTTTAAAAGTTATTGTTTACTATATTATCGTATCGTGTAAAGTGACGTACATTGAACCATATTTTTGGTAAAACTTGACTAAGATGCATTACTGATCTTACACGTGCTTATTGAGTAATTTGTGATTTGGGCATCTGACAGAATTGTTACGACCTCAAAGTAATTAATCTATAAGAAAATGAAGAAGTTATGGGTATCCAGATCTACTGTTATCCTGAGCGGAAAAGGGTCTCGGATGTCGAACGTGGTGGTGCCACCCGGCGGATCTCTTACGGCAGAGCCAGAATGTGTGCATGTTGCATGCACAGGTATTCCCGCGCTAAAGTCCGTGTGACGTCCCCCTTTTCCCCTATATCCCCCTATAGCCACATGGTATCCGGAGGCCTTAGGCCTTACGCCGGCTCCACACGTTGGCCCCAACGTTGGTCCCAACGCCACTCGCCCAACGTGTGTATCTAGAAAATAGCGTTGGCCCCAACGTTGGAGCGACCGTTGGTAGTTGGCTGTCGATTGTCGGTTTTATCAAAGGAATCTGCGCCAACGTTGGCAATCCGTCCACATATCGGCTCACTGGCTCAGTCTTGTAACACGCGTCGAGTGCGTATGTGGAGATATGTCATCAACAACATCGCTACCCGCGTGGACAAACGAAAAAGTTGTAGAATTTTTAGAGTTATACTAGGCGCATCCAATAATATGGAACGCCTCTCGCAAAGACCATAAAAATAGAAATTTAGTAGCCGATGCATGGCGCAATATTCAACAGAATATGAAAATGATTTATTCTATTGAGGAATTGAAAAAGAAACCGAAATTGCTCTAAGCGCTTTTACAGTACTGATGAGTGCGTATAATTTATATTTGTTATTGAAAAAAAAGAAAAAGCCACGTCAAAGGAGATGGTGGATGACAACGCATCATCAAACTCGGTACCAGTAAGTACAGACTATACACTCCATTCTAGCAGCTTTTTACAAGGCAATTTAATATTAAATTATCTAATAATGTGTATACAGTGTGTCCATGATAAGGATGTCTATCATGAGGCTCTTGGAAAACAAAAGTGATACGAAGATGGTTAAATTTCAAGCCTAACAATATGCCGTTTAGAAAGCTTTAAAATTCCGAGTTGTTCCGGAGGTATGCCTAAAAAATGCTACTTAATACAGGGCATACTTTTTTACGCGCCATATAAAAAATAAAGTTGATGTAGAGCTTAAAAAGTAGCCATAAGAAAGTGTCTGTTGTTTTTCCATATCTCTTTAAATAACGTCAGAAAAAAATAAAAACGAAATCGGCAAATTTCGGTTTTTTAGGCATACCTCCGGAACAACTCGGAATTTTAAAACTTTCTAAACGGCATATTGTTAGGCTTGAAATTTAACCATCTTCGTATCACTTTTGTTTTCCAAGATCCTCATGATAGACATCCTTATCATGGACACACTGTATACACATTATTAGATAATTTAATATTAAATTGCCTTGTAAAAAGCTGCTAGAATGGAGTGTATGGTTTGTACTTACTGGTACCGAGTTTTATGATGCGTTGTCATCCACCATCTCCTTTGACGTGGCTTTTTCTTTTTTTTCAATAACAAATATAAATTATAAGCACTCATCAGTACTGTAAAAGCGCTTAGAGCAATTTCGGTTTCGGTGTCGGACATCTTCACATTGGCTCTGACAGAAAGGAACTAGTATAATAACCAACGTGTGGACGCTTCACCAACTTAACCGACCAACGTTGGTACCAACGTTGGGGCCAACGTGTGGAGCCGGCGTTACTGGTGGTTCAAGTATAAAAAATGACGTGAATTCCCGTAATCTACAAGACATGCTTACATGCCACTGAGATGTTCCTGGAGTTGTATACGATGTTACAGTTACCCTGCAGTACCGTTTGCAGTTACGCTTAGTTCCCAAAGCCGCGATCACGTTACGCTTTTCCACGCTATTTGGTAACAGTCGTAATTTAGAAATATCAGTTAATAAATCACAGCGTGAAATCAGCCACCACTGGTTCGCTGCTTCCAACAATGTCGTATAATTTGTAAAAACATGAATGATTAAAATGGTCGGATGTCTCAGAGTACCGCCTGCAATCAAACAATTTCTATATTTACTAGTCAACTTGTGACATCATTTCATTAAAAAGATGTAGGTCATGCCCAGTGATAAGTCATCCCTTCTTTCATTCGTTGGTGGGGGTGAAAACGGTGTTAAGTCAAAATTTTTGCCAAAGTAATGTGATTAATAATTTTGGAAAAGTGAGTTTTGATAGACTTGCCTCTTTGTTCACAGCAAGTTGTTTGACATATATCCTTCTGCACTATACAGAACGTGAAGGAAAATAAAGTCAACCTGCTTTTTAAATATATTTCGTTCACAAAGGCTTACAAATAGACAAACAGATATTATACCAAATATTCTTCATCTGAGGAAGCATCTGGAAAGACATCAATTTGATCACTAACAGTCTACAAATTTTTATAAAAATCCCAATGTCCCTCTGAAATATAAGGAAGTAGGACGATCAGATGTTGTTTCTTTTCTACGAATACTGGCACAGATTTTTTGTATATGTTCTCTGGATTCAGCATCTTCTTGCTTTGATCGTACCTTGTTTTTAAGGTAAGAGTCTTAAAATCCTCAGTCTCACTTAGAGTGCTTTGTAAAGCAATATTCTATTACCTTTTACGT